GGGGCCGCCCGGGGGCGGGGCCCGCGGCCGGCAGGTGGGCGGGGCTGCGAGGTGCCACCCGGGCCTGGCGAGGCCCCAGTTGGGTCTTTCCCTGGCCCTGGCTGCATAGGTGAGGTAGGAAGATGGGGCTGCCTGCGCCCGTAGTGGCTCACCGTCTGGGAAACCCCAAAGGGGCAGTGTGTGTCCTGTCGACGGGGTCCCCGTGAGTCAGGATGGGGGCCAGGGCAGACACTGGGGGAAAAGCAAAGGGATTCGACTGTGTGGACCCTTAACGGACTATGGGTAGCTTTGAGAAGAATGGGAGTTCCACAACAGGTCACTGTGCTCCTGCGGAACCCGTCCATGGATCAAGAGGCCGTGTGAACCGAACAAGGGGCTACAGGATGGTCTTCGATGGGGAAAGGTGTGCGAGTAGGATTGTGTCTTCTCAGCACAGTCCTTCAACTGTAGGCTGAGCGGAGCAGAGCGGCTGGCTTAGATGAAGGGCATCAGGCCTGGAGGAAGGCTTCCTAACAAGCTTCCCATCTGCAGGTGACCTCACCTTGGTTCTCAGATCAAGGACTGAAGCCTTCGGTGTGGGCCACAACTCGATGTAAAGCAAACCAACGTCCTCACACCTGACATGCGCAGGAGGTCACATCGTGATCAAGGGAGAAGAGGCTGAAGTTGTCAAGGATTTTGTCTTGCTTGGATCCACCATCAATGCTCACGGAACCCGCAATCGAGATCAAAAGACGTATTGCATTAGGTAAATCTGCACACGACCACTTTTCCATGTTGAAAGGCAAGGGGGTTACCTTGAGGACTGACCCAAGGCACCTGGCACCTGGCCATGGTATTTTCCATTGCCTCCTACGCATATGAAAGTTGGACATGGAGTAAGGAAGCGGCAAGAATGCATGCATTTGAATTCTGTATGGTGCTGGCAAAGGGTAATGGAAGTACCATCGACTGCCAAAAGAACAAGGGTCTGTCTGTCTTGGAAGACGTGCAGCCAGAAGGCTCCCTAGAAACAAAGATGGCAAGACTTCCGCTCACATACTGTGCACACGTTGGGACCAGGAGAGACCAGTCCCTGGAGATGAACATCCTGCTTCTGGTGAAGTGAAGGGGTGGCAAGAGAGAACCCTCCACAAGACGGCTTGACACAGCGGCTGCAACAATGGGCTCAGCTATAGGGACAGTGGTGAGGACGGAGCGGCGTTTCTTTCTGTTGTACATGGGGCTGCCGAGTCAGAACTGACTCGATGGCATCTAACAACATAGGAACAAGTAGCCCGATGGCACGGCGGCTTAAGCTCTTGGCTGCCAACCAAAAGAGCGACAGTTCACAGGAGAAAGGTGTAGCAATCTGTTTCTGTAAAGAGGAGCGCTCGATTGGACCCTATACGAGTCCTGGGTCCCTGTGAGTCGAACTAGTGGGCAGTGTTTGGTTCTATTTTGAACTGTTTGGAGCTTTGACTATGGGGAGAGTGATGACCATGGATTCTGGACAGAAATTCAAACACCACCGCTACTACTGTCTGGCCTTGTGACTTTGGACATGTCCCTTGCCCTCTCTGGACCTCAGTTTCGACTATCAAGTGGCAGATAACAACAGTACCCACCTCCCAGGGTGATGTGAGGGTTTTGATTGGAGTCAGGTGTTTGCCAAATGCAACACCTGACCCAAAGTGGGCTGGGCCCGTCGGCTAAACGCTCTCTGGGGCCCACACTCAGAATGAAATGGTCTTAAAAGGAGTCTGGGTGGTGTCGTGTTTACATGTCGGGCTGCTAACTGCAAGGCCAGGAGTTTGAAACCACCATCTGCTCTGAGGGAGCAAAACATGGCTTTCTACTCCCACAGTTAGTGTCTTAGAAACTCAGTGGGGAGGTCCACCCTGTCCTATAGGGTCACTAGGAGTTGTCACATGGACTCGATAGCAGTGGGCTCGGGTTGGCTTTAGTTTTATGGGGGAAAAGGAGCCCTGGTGGCCCACTGGTTAAGTGCTCAGCCGCTAAGCAGAGTCAAAGGTCAGGGCTTGACGTCACAAGCCGAACAGAGGGAGAGAGATGTGGTAGTAGTTGACTTCTGCAAAGATTTCCAGACTCTGCAGCCCTCTGGGGCAGGTCTACCCCATAGGGTCACCCTGAGTCGGAATCCACTCAAAGGCAGTGGGGCTCGGTTTGGTTTATGGGTAGGGAAATCAAGGCTCAGAGAGGTGCGGCTCTTTGCCTGAGGCCACACAGTAAGGAGAGCAAGCCGAGACCCGAGCTGTCTTCCTGGGGCCGCAGTGGCAAGTGTGTGGGCTTTGCTTGCGCCCAACTCTCAGTCGCCCTTGCTTAAGGCGCAAGCCCTCTGACCTCCCACTGCCTCATGGAAGCCACTGTCACCAAGGGCGGCATGTGGATGAGCTGTGAGGAAGGCCACCAGTCAGGAAAGGCTGGGCTCCGCTGCAGTAACAGGCAACCCCAGTCTCCACGGTTTGCTTCTCACCCACACTGGTTGCCAGGGTGACGAGGAACAGGCAGCAAATCACCTAGGGCAGTGGTTCTCAACCTTCCTAATGCAGAGACCCTTTAATACAGTTCCTTATGCTGGGGAGACACCCCCCCCCAACCATAAAATTATTGTCGTTGCTACGTCACCACTGTCATTTTGCTACTGTTATGAATCGGATGGTTCTCAACCTGTGGGGCTCTTAACCTCTGGGCCTGGAAGTGAGGCCTCTGTCATTTGATTGGCCAGTCCAGTCATGGATCCACGCCCAAGGTCAACAGGGTGGGGCGCAAGTTTGTGCCCACAACCAGAACCGGCTAGCAGAATGACATAGGTGGTGAATGCCAATCAGTGGGCACCATTTCAGGCAGGGCTTAAGGGGTAAGATGCCACAACACTGTGCCCTGGGCATGGGGAAACAAGATCTCAGCTTTAGTCCAGAGCCCTGCTTCTCACACCAGAAACATCAGCAGCCAGGGGCCTTTATTAAAATGCTGAGCGCCACGCAGGCACGGGGCGGGGATTAGAGGCGGCTCAGGTTCAGAGCGAGGCCGATGAGGCAGAGCCCGTTGGCCACGAGGCAGCCCAGGTTGCACAGGGAGGAGAGGCCGTGGTACCGGAAGAAGACCAGGCGGAGAGCTTCGTACTTGGGATCCTGCTCCCGCAGCTGGCGGTAGGGGTCCTGTTCTCGCAGCTGGCGGCTGCCGGGCACCTCCCCGCCCAGGCCCCGCTTCTTCTCCACGGTCTGCAGGGCCCACATGGTGGCCGTGGTGCGTGGCTCAAGCCATCGGCCATTGATGGCTGCCAGCGTGAGGCACAGCAGCAGCAGGCCGAGCTGGAGGGGACGCAGAAAGGGGGACAAGGTGAGGCGTGCCTGGGTGGCAGGAGGGGCCTTGTGAGGACCCTTCTGCATCCTCATCACCCAGGGGAGGAGGGGACACAGCACCAGGGCACAGCCAACTTCTCTTTCCTTCACCCCAGGCTGGGGGCCCCAAAGACTAGCTTGAGCTCTCATCCTCCCCTCCAAAAAACAAACACACACACACACTGGCAGCCCTTAAGGAAAGGCTCCACCTGTCCCTTTTACTCTCCCAAAGCCCACCTGAGTCCTTTCTCCTTTGATCCCCAGACTGACAGCCCACAACAGGGTCTGGCTTCCCCTCCTCCTGTTCCCCCAAACTGAGGGCAGCTCAGAAAAGAACCTTGCTCCCCAAACTGGTGCACAGCCCTGGAATACCCCCTCTGATCTTCCAAATCAGGAACCTTGAGACAAAGGCCCGCCTCCTCTGTGGCCCCAGCCCAGACCCCCAAAAGCTGCCACTGGGCCCACAGGAAGTGGAAGGGAAAAAAAAAAGTCAGCGAGGTTCCAATTACCCACAATCCTTTCCTGTCTCTGTGGGATTATTCTTGAAACACCTGTCTGGCCTCACCTGCCCATATCTGAGGAACATAATGGGGGCAGAGAGGGGAGGGCAAGGTAGAGAAACATGAGAGGCAGGCATGGTCCCTTGCCTGGTGGTTGGGGAAATGGGATCCTGGAGGTAAGGACCCACAAAAGGCTAGTCAGGCTGGTTTTAAAAAAACAACAACAATGAGCTGGGGTCAGTGCCCCAGCCCAGCTGAGTCACTGACAGCTCAGCAGAAGGCCCAAGGGGAGGAGAAGGAGCAGCCAGCAGCCAGTGATGAGACACTGGTAGGAAGACAGGGTTGCTGGGACCCATGTTCAGTCTGTGCACTGCTCAAAGGTGTCCAGGTTTGCACCCATCAGGAAGAGGGGGCACTTTTCTTTATTTTTAATTCGTGCCAAGGTAGGGGTTCCCCAGGCCCTGGAAGTAAGTCTCCAGAGGGTCAACGCTCCCCAGCCTGCCTACCTGGCTGGCCTCCCAGAAGGTGAGCTGAGTCCAGGCACACTGCGAAGCCAAGATGCAGAGGTTGACCAAGGCACAGCCCATGGAGATGTGAAAGTAGAAAGGGAAGAGTTTGCTCTGCACGAGGCCAAAAGTATGTCTGGGAAGGCCCCTAAAAAGCAGGAAGCCTGTGGACACAAGGGGCCACAGGCCTGTGAGGACAGATGCCCTTCCCCGTCCTGTTCCCGCCCCCAGGGCCCCACAACATGCAGGCTGGGTCCCTACCTGAGACAAAAGTCACCCATATCTGCATGCCCCAGGCTCCTGACAAGACCAAGAGGTGCACCACCTTGGCCAGGCCTCCCGGAGCCCCGACTTCCTCCATCTTGCAGCCCTAGAGAGGAGGCACCAAGCTAAGCTCTGCCCAGTGGCCTTCAGACTCAGAGTCCACTGGGCCACAGGGTCATGGCCAATGCAACAGAGACTCCAGGGAAGCTGCTCAGGAGTGGGGATGTCCGCTGACAACCCTTCGACTCAATCTCGCCCAAAAGGCCAGGTCTCACAATCTCAAACCCCGCCCCCCAAACCGTGCTACCTGCAAGACCCCCCCAAAGTCCCGCCCCTGAAGCTCAAGCTCCCAGTTTATTACCTTCAGTTAATAACCGCCCAGACAGCACAAGGGCTCCGGCTCTAACACTAATGATCCCTACTCCCAAACAGTCCCCAAATCACCACACCTACTAATTCCGGGGACCCCAAATCTCGCCCCGAGAAGCCCAACCCCACCGTCGCAAACCGGGACCTCCAACCGTTGCACCCAGGTGCGTGCGTCCAGAGGTGCTGAGGCCGGATTGCGGGGCCCAGAGGGCCGAACTTGATACCTCGCTCCCGCGCTCCGGGGCACCCCAGTGGCCCGCGGACCTCCTGGGCCACCTCCCCTCGTGGTCCGCCGCGCAACCAACCGCTCGTCCCGCCTCCAGCGGAGCCCCCAGCCAATCCAATCGTAGACTTACGGCTTTCCGCTCCGCCCCACCTTTGTACCGCCCTCTTAGATATCGACCAATCAAGGAGCAGAAATGCGTCTGGGAGCCCCGCCCCCGGGTTCTGAGGCCCCGGCACAGCCGCCCTTAAAAGCTGCGGAAGCGGGAAGGCGGCGAGCTAGGCTCGGCTACGGCGGCGGGGGCGGAGCTAAGGCGCCGTCGGGGGCGGAGCTAAGGCGCTGGCCCCGCCCCCCTCTGTGACTCCGGCTTCAGCTGCGGCACGTGTTTTCTTAAAGCGATGGTGTCCCCACAGGCTCAAACGTCAGCGTCACAGGCAGGGACTGGCTTCGCGGTCCCCGATGGGAGAGCATGAACAGGTGGTATGTGGTAGGTGGGAGAGGAAGCAGGTCTGGAACTGGACGGGCGTGAGATTCACGACCCTCCTGGTGGGGGCGGGGCCATTCGCTTAGGCCCCGCCCCTTCCCCAAAGAATTCTCCTGGGAGGGACTAGAATCCGCCGGACAGGAGGCGGGGCGGGGCGGCAAGGCTGCGACCTGCCTGCAGGTGATTGGTCCCCAGCGATGTCACTGCCCCTTCCTCTCCTGCAAGGATCCCCTGCCCCTCAGGTTGTCAGCTGACCATCCAGGACAAACCCTGACTGGGCCCCTGCTGCGTGCCAGTCACTGGCATGGATTCATTTCTTTAATCACAACAGCCCAGCAAGGTGGGCCCTGTCACCTCCCGTGTTTATAGCTCGGGACACTGACGCAAAACAAAGCTAGAATTCCAAACCCAGGTCACGTGGCTGGAGAGTCTCCCTAATGCCCCTTGAGCGGCGCTGCCTCCGGAAGTGCGGCTTCCCTGGGGGGGAGGGGATGCAGACGTGAGCTGCCGAGCCCTGTTCGCCCGGTCTGCTCCCAACCTTGCGGTTGCTGGCTTCTTGGCTAAGCATTGCCAACGGAAAGGTTTGCAGTTTGAATCCAACCGGCGGCTCCGTGGCAGAAAGTCCTGGCGATCTCTTCCTGGAAAGATTACAGCCTAGAATAGAAAAATCCCATGGGGCAGTTCTCTGCCATCAGCGGTCAGCCTCGCTCCGCACAGACCTCGGCCCAACTCAGCTAACCTTTGTGGACCAGGTATACCTGTCCACACCAGGTTTACCTGCGAGGCCAGGTGCACACGCTGCTACCTGGCCTTCAAGTTTGCTCCAGCTGCTTCTAGAACACTAGTCTCCCATCTCTGGCCTCTCGGGCTCCAGCTAGCTAGCCCCTGTGTCCACCCCTCAAGCCTTTCACACTCCACTTCTTGGCAGGGAAGCTCTTCCTTACACACCCCAGTAGATTAAGGTCCTGGGGGTTGGGGGTGGGAGGCGACTCTCTTCAGTCCCTCACATCCTGCTGGGAGTCCTGGGGCCAGGATCATCCTTCCAGCGTCAGCTCCTGCTGTGACACAGAGGGGCCACGTTCTGGCTGAAGCCTCTAGGGGTGTCAGGGAGAGTTGGGGATGCTGGGAACATGAGGGCTGGTCTCTCCCCACTCTCACAGTGACCCTCTCCTGGCTGGCCTACCCCGGGACCCTGACTTCGCTGTGACCTGCCGCTGCTCATCGCCCTTGCCCGCCAACGTGGGCTTGCCAGCTGAGAGGAAGTGTGACAAGTTCTGGGGTTCGTGGTGGGGAGTGCTGGAGCTGGGGGGTGGGGTGGGGGTAGAGGAGTTGAGGGGCATTCTGGGCTGGCCCTAAATGAAGCCTCATCCCCAGACTCTTCCTCAGACAAGATCTTGGACTGCACAAACCCCTGGGCCAGGGTCTCAGATTCGGAGATCGTGGGGCCGGCTTCTTCAGAGAACACAGGGACAGGGACGTGTGGCAACTGGAGGCCGGGGTGGGGCTCAGGGCTGCGGACACATGGCACTCCCTGCTTCCCCAGCTCGGAGGTGTTGAAGGAGAGCTGTAATGACCACGACCTTCTGAAGCGGCATCACCACATCTCCAAGGTCACCCCACCCCACTGTGGATGTGGGGTAGAGATGGTGGGGGAGCACAGCAAATCAAGATCCAGGGCAGGGGGGCAGGGCGGGAATGCTCACCCTCTAGGTCGGTGCCTGGCCCTCACTGAAAGCCCCTGCCCTATGGTGGGATGGAGAAGTGCAAGATTTTGTGCATGGGCCTGGGACTCTCAGCTCCACCCCGCCACTCTGGGGTCTGGGTGGCCGAGAGGTGTGCGAGTGGGTGCTGTGGGGCTCTGTGAAGGCAGGCTGGAGTGTTCGGCTTGTGACTACAAGTTGTGCGGCTGCGTCCCTAAGGGCTTTGGCGACTGTGTATGGTCGGGTTTGAGGGGCTGTGGGTGTTTGCGTCTAAGATAAGGTGACCAGATTTTAACATCGGAAAAGCGGGACACCACTGATAATAGCCACATGGCAGCCGCAAACCGTCTACCCTAGCTTGTCGTGCATTCTTTCCAAAAACCGGGGCTTTTTAAAAACGCTGTGGGACGCGGGACAAATTGTTAAAAATCGGGACTGTCCCGCCCAAAGCGGGACGGCTGGTCACCTTAGTCTAAGAAGGAGGGCCATTACCTGAACCCAAGCCAGGGACAGGACTGGTCCTGGGCCGCAGCCTGAGCTCACACCTGGGATGAGCCACATAGGTGTCCAACCACCCAGACCGGGCTGCAGTGAGCAGGAAGGCAGTTCAGGGACAAACACCACACCTTGTTTGTCCCCCTCCCCTAGAAGTCCTTGGATTCCAACAATTGCAAGGTTAAAGGTGAGAACCCAACCCCCCTAACAAGGCCATGTAGGGAAAGGGCCCCTCCTCTCAGCCCCAGTATCTACAGACCCCTGGCCCCACCTCTACCTCAAGGGACCCCCCTGACTCTCCCCTTGGCCCCCTGCTGGCCCCCTGAGCCTCAGTTGAGCTCAGCTCTGTCCCCCCACCCCCACCCCTTCTGGCCTCAGCTGCCCCTCACCTCTGCCCACAGCAAAGTCTGCCACCATGATCCCCGACTCCCAGAAACAACTGCGGTTCGAACTAGCTTTCCTGTGCTTCTAGGATTGCAACTAGGAGGAAGACTTCTCTGCGCCCCTTCCCCACACCTCCCTAACTCCCCACTCCCCCCACCCCCACCTCTTCTGGCCTCAGCTGCCCCTCACCTCTGCCCACAGCAAAGTCTGCCACCATGATCCCCGACTCCCAGAAACAACTGCGGTTCGAACTAGAGTCACTCAAGAGCCAGCTGCAGGCCCAGACCAAGGTAAGCTGCCAGCCTGGCCTTGGCACGGCTCCCACCCCCCCCACGCCCCCAGCCTCCACTGCCCCACAGGTGCCCTCTTCCAGCCCCAGGCCTGACCTCTGCCCCCAGGCTTTCGAGTTTCTGAACCACTCAGTGACCATGTTGGAGAAGGAGAGCAGCCTACAGCAAATCAAGATCCAGCAGCTTGAAGGTGAGGAAGGACCTGCATGGGGCGGGGCAGGCTGGGGGGGGTGTCCCCGGAGAGGATGAGCAGTCTGGGGTGAGCGCTGGGGCCAGGCTGTGCAAGGACAGGGCTCAGTCCCTGGTGCCTGCAGAGGTGCTGAGCCCCGCGAGCTGCCAGGCTCAGAAGGACCTGCGCAAGTGGGGCCTGGAGCAGGGCCGGCAGGAGCTGTACGGGGCCCTGGCCCAAGGCTTGAAGGGGCTGCAGAAGACGCTGCAGGACAACGAGGAGATGCAGCAGGCCCGCACTGCCCGCTGCCTGCAGCTGCTGGCCCAGGAGATCCAAGACAGGTGGGCGTGGGTGAGAGGGAAGAGTGGGCTAGGGGAGGGCAGAGAGGAGGCTTAAGGAAAGGAGGGGCGCCTGGGGAGAGTGGACAGGGCCAGGAGCGGGGACTGGGGAGGGCCAGGAAGCTAGGGTGGAGGCCTGAAGGCAGGAAGCTGGGGCTGTAGGAGCCCCCGAGCCTGGTGGATTTACCCGTGGGCTGCTGCTAAGGGTTTCTGTTCCAGGAAAGGCTTCCGGCCTCAGAAACCCAAAGTGACAGTTCTACCCTGTCCTGTAGGGTCACCAAGACCTTGTCAGAATTAACTCAATGGCAGGATCTTTTTTGAAGTTTTGAAGAGACAGAAGGGGAAAGGTGAAGGCCAAGCCCTCGGCTGAAGAGGGTGGGAGGGACTGAGGGAGCGGAAGTCTGAGGTCAGGAGGAGAAGATGGGGGGTGTGGGGTGGGGTGGGGGGCTGGGTGGAGTAGTAGCTGGAAAGGAAGGGTGGGCAGGCCAAGGTGGGAGGAGACAAAGCTGAGGAAGTGGCTGGATTGAGCAGAGGTGGAGGCAAAGGGCCAGGGGCTGGGCAGAGTGCAGGTTGAGGTGGCACTGCCCCTTTCTGCCAGTGAGCCCTGGTGACTTGGTGGTGACGCACTGGGCTGCTGCTGCCAGGTCAGCAGTTTGAAACCAATAGCAGCCTTTCAGGAGAGAGATGAGGCTTCCCACTCCTGTAAAGTGTTACTGACTCCGAAACCCACAGGGCAGGTAGTTCTACCCTATCCTTATAGGATTGGCAATGAGTTAGAATTGACTCAATCGCAGTGAATTTGGTTTTGTTGTTATTGTGGGGGTTTTTTTGGGGGGGTCCCCTCAGCAAGAAATTCCTATGGGAGGAGCTGGAGCTGGTTCGAGAGGAGGTGACCTTCATCTACCAGAAGCTCCGTGAGTGTCTGGAGACCCCAGCCCGGACGGGGGGTTGGTGGGTGGGGGGTGTCTTCTGTCCTCCCAGCCCCTCTGAGCCCCTTCCACCAGCCCTACCCGCCCCTCCACACAGAAGCTCAGGAGGAGGAGATCACAGAGAACCTGGTGAACATTAAGAAGATGCAGAAGACACAGGTGAAGTGCCGCAAGGTGAGAGGCAAGAGCAGGAATCCCCTGGGAGGTGGGGACATGAGGAGTCTCTGCTGGCCGGACGCAACAGGCCACCCAAAAGACCGGAGTGCAAATCCCCGCTCTGTCACTTACTGCCTGGACAACCTCGGGCAAGTCCTTTCATCTTGGAGCCTCCGTTTCCCCATCGGCATAGAGGGCAGCGGAAGCCGTGTCCCAACCCAATCACGAATCTCCTAGTTCATTGTTCTGACGGGCCATCAAGTCTTTCTGAGTCACCGCTACCCCGTGTTCACCAGAACCAAGCACTGCCTGATCCTGTGCCGTCCTCACGACCGTTCCTACGTTTGAGCTAACTTTTACTGCAGCTGTGTCCATCCATCGCCCTGAGGGTCTTCTTGCTTGGGTGCCCCTCTACCAAGCACGACGCCCTTCTCCAGGGCTGGTCCCTCCTGAGAGCATGCACGTGGGAGGAAGGCTCCCCACCCTTCCTTCTGCTTCCTCCGAGTAAGTGGGGTTGTTGATTCCCCTAGAAGTTTGTGGTCTATAGTCCGTGTGCTTCAGGAAGGCCATCGTTCCGGATTCTGAGTTCTCCTTCCACCTGCCTTGTTCCGTGTCTACCTTTCCTAGACATATAAAGTGATGGAAGATACTTTCACTTTGACCGGGCACATCTGAGTCCTCTAGGTAGCGCCTTTGGCTTTTCACTCTTCCGAGGTCTTTTGTGCTGTTTTTGCATTTGAGCTTTTTGCCGTAAACCAAGCGAAGGCTTACGGAGCGGATCATCAGTTTCGTTTCAGCTCATCCGCTGCAGTCCCCCTGATGTCCCACCAGTTCTCCCCTGTGTTTTCCATTTCGATTGCTCTTACTGTTCTAGCCCTCTGTTCTTGGTCCTTGGTCTTGGGGTTCAGGATTCTAACACAGGGGTGAATTCCATTCCAGACCTGAAGGGTGACTAAGGGCCACCATCTGGGGGTGTCTACCGGTCTCTATCTGACCAGTAAGCCTGGTCTCTTTTATGATTTTGGATTTGGTTCCGCATTTTTCTCCTCCTCTACCCGGGACCTTGTAAGGAGATTCTTTTCAGAGCCGTTGATAAGGGAAGTCGGGCACCATCTAGTTCTTACGGTCTCAGCAGGTATAGAGACTGATCCATTTGAGTGGTCTGTGAGTTTAAGGAGGCCTTTTTGAAGCAGATTCCCCCAGTGCAAGCCTATGTCATCTGATTCTTGCCTGCGGATTTCCTGGGCATTGACTGTGGACCCAAGTAAAATAAAGTCCTTTGCCGTTTCCATCCTTTCTCCATTGACCATGATGTTCCATCACTTGTCTATCTGTGTGTGGTACTGTGGTGGCTTGTCTGTTGCCGTGATGCCGGAAGCTATGCCATCGGTATTTCAAGATCCAGCTGCATCATCCATTGAAAACAGGCTTCCCTGAAGTTTGCGGTCTCAGACAGATTAAGAAAAAAGGCCTGGGAATCTACGTCTTTTACAAGTGGCCTATGCAAACCTTTTGAAGGGCAGCATAGCATTGACTTGGTGCCGGAAGATGAACCTCTCAGGGTGGGAGGGACTCAAACTACGACTAGAGAAGCGCTGCCTCCTCAAAGTAGAGTCAAGTTTAATAATGCGGGTGGTGGAAAGGTTGGGGGACCTTCAACTCTTAATGTTGTGCAACTCAAAATGAGAAGTAGCTGAAAATAGCCACTCGTGATTGGAATGTGGGACGTACAGCCTATGATCCTAGGAAACTAGAACTTAACCAGAAGTGAAATGGAATGTTTATCGATGGATGACCTAGGCATTAGTGAGCTGAGGTGGACTGATAATTGGCCTTTTCAAATTGGATAGTCACAGTCAATAATGGCAAACCGAAGAGAATTGGCACCCCATGAAAGAGCATTTCAAGATCTATCATACAGTACAGTGCTGCCAGTCATATGATAATACCCATATGTCTCCAAGAGCACCCAGTTAAGATGACTATTGTTTATACTTTCATGCCAACCGCTAAGGCCAAAGACGAAGAGTGTAAAGATTGTTTCCAACGTCTGCAGTCTGTAACTGATCACACATGCATGCGATCAAGGTGCATTGGTAATTGCTGGTTGGATACAATAAGGATCAGTAACTGGAAAATATGGCCTTGATGGTAGAAATGAAGCCAGAGGTTGAATAATAGATCATTGTAAGACCGATGACTTACTCATTGCAAATACCATCTTTTCAGCAATATAAACAGCAACTCTAACGATATACATGAACCTCAGAGGGTGGAACAGCAGGATTCAAATGGACTACGTCAATGGGAAGAGAAGATTGAGAAGCTCAGTATCATCTGTCAGCATAAGACTAGGGGCTACCGGTTGAAAAGACCATGAATTGCTCATGGGCAAGTCAAGTTGAAGCTGAAGAAAATTAAAAGAAAGTCCACAAGCCCTAAAGTACCACCCTAAGTATAAGTCACCTGAATTTAGAGACTTTCTCAAAAATAGACTGAATGCATTGAACATGAATGACTGATGACCAGATGAATCGTGGAATGACAACAAGGACATCATACATAAAGAAAGCAAAAGATCATTCAAAAGACAGGAAAGATACAAAAGATCAGAAGAGATTCCGAAACTTGCTTTTGAACATAGAGTTCCAACTAAATACCTGTGGGTTCCTGAGACTGTAACTGTTTATGGGAGGAAAATGCCCACTCGTTCTCCTGCAAGATAGCTTCCTTTTTCTCCGTGGAGCGGCTGGTGGTTTAAACTACTGAACTGCAGTTAGTAGCCCAACGTGTCAACCCCCTCCACCACTGCAATAAATGATAACGGAGGGCTATCTCTGATCTTTTCTGGCTTCCCTGTACCTTTGAATCTCTGTGCTACAGTCTGATACCCCTGTTCTCGGTGACTTCTGCCACCTGACGGAGATCTTGAACCTGCTCTTCCAAGATCCTCCAGGTTTCTTTCCCTGCTACTGTTTCAAAAATGGCTCATCACGACGGCCAGCAGGGTGGTAACAAAAACTGACCAATCGCCTCTCTTAGGGTTACACCATAGTTGCATAGCCCCCACCCATTCATTTGGTGAGAGCTACAGGTATTTGGGTACAAGAGCCATGCTAAGAAATTTCATTCCACCACAGCCACGAAGGCTCCTCTTGAACGTAGAATAGCCGTAGCAGATGGACGAAATGATGAAGGAAGAGTTCAATCGAAGACTTCAAAGGGTGGCTGCAGAAGCCAAAGCGTTATAACAGTAGATGACAGAGACCTGGGGGTGGGAAACCCAACAGAAACAAGACGCTTGGCGTTTCTCAAGCTGTAGGCACTGAAGAAAAACGTTCAAGCTTCACGCTGCAATATTGAAGACCTCCGTGGGCAGCGTACCGCGTGACACAGGAGGCATCAGAAGAAGACGGGAGGAATGTGGTGACTGGATCGAAAAGAAGTGGTGGGTCTCCCACCATCTCAAGAGGCAGTGTATGGTCAAGAGCTGATGATCTTGAGGGAAGAAATCCAAGCTGCCCTGAAGGCTTTGGTGAAAAATACCCCACACACACACACACACACCAGAAAACCCCAGAACCTCACTGCCATTGAGGCGATGCCAACTCATAGCCACCCTGGAGGGCAGGGTAGAACTGCTCCTGGAAGCTTCCGGGACTGTCACTCTCGTGGGAGTAGAAAGCCCGGTCTTTCTCCCAGTGAAAAACAAGGCCGCTGGTGTTGACGGAGTACCAATTGAAATGCTTCCACAAACCGATGGGGTACCGCAAGCACTTACTGGTCTACAGCAAGACATTTGGAAGATGGGCACCTGGCCAACTGGCTGGAAGAGGCCCGTATCTGTGCCCCTTTCGAAGAAAGGTGACTCGACAGAATGTGAAGATAACCTACCAATATCATTACTATCACACGCAAGTAAAATTTTGCTGATGGTAATTTTTTCAAATGGTTGCCGAATCTTTTACCATCATCGGCTAAATTAAGCACACTCTCTGTAGAATGACTTTCTGTTCCAGGGAAGTGACCGATAATGTTCTCTAACATAAAAAGACCAAGACCAAGGGTTCAATAGAAAGCAAATGTCTAGAGAAGAATGAGGGCAACCTATGTACAAGCATGCCTGATTCAATTGATGTTTGGATTGTGATAAGAGGTGTACGAGTGGACTTGGGGCTCACACTTACTTCTAGCTCTAATCTAAGAATAATTCGTTCTTATAAAGCAGCCCTACTTGATCCTTGCCCTCATGAATCGATCCCTGAAGATATGGGTGCTATAGCAAAGTGTGGTGAAGAGACTAGATGGCCCCCGGCTGTCAGAAAGACTAGTGTCTGGGGGTCTTAAAGGCTTGTCTTCAAACAAGCAGCCATCTAAAAGTGAGGCATCAACATGGAAGCCCACAGGGAAGCAATACACCAACCTGTGTGAGCCAAAGATTTAAAATAATACAATCCAAATCCAAAGGAGGAAATAGTATCAGTGCTTAAACTGTAAAGTCCTCGTTTGCAGAAGGCTAAGGATGACAGTGGATGCCCAAAATCCATCTGCAGGATCTACACCTATATTAAGCCTCTGGTGATGTCCCTCTGACCCTAGTGGAGGCGTGTGAATACACTGACTATCGAACAGAGGATCGTAGAGAGCATTAGAGTAGATTAAAATGTAACATCTGATTCGATCCCCGTTTCGACACCTCCAAAAGTACTAGCGCTCAAAAACAAAAACCCCCCAAAAAGTGAAGAGGAAGTGCATGTGGGTGAAGCCTTTGTCAAATTCCCTCTGCACATAGAGCAGGGATGGGAATAACCTTGCTATCACACACAATGCGTTGGACGGTGGATTATGACAGATATAGTTAAGTCAAAATCTAACACCTTATCATTTGAGCTCCCTTTTGACCCATTTTAAAGTTGCTCTCATTCCTAATATCGTCCGTTTTCTTTTCAACTGGGGTTTTTCTCTGTCTTATTTTAGTATTGGTTATTAGCTTTTATGACTCTGTTTTATATTTTGTATGTTTATTGGTCCAGGAAGTTTATATGAAGTCCAGGATGGGTGAATCTAGAGAGATAGTAATTGGATTTAAGGGTTCCTTGAGTGGGGGAAATTGGGAGAAAATGGGCAGCTAATAACAAAACCATTAGTTTGTACAACACACTTCTGGATATGATTGAACTATGGAGTTGGATATTTGGATTATGACCCAATAAAACTT